GTTATATATCATATGCAACTGAAAGTACGTTGATCGGAGTCCTGTAGAATTTATCGTAGTATTTTTAGTAAGCCGCGACAGTCAAATTTGGGATTACAGACCAGCCTATTCGAAAATTTTTTTAATGCTTCAAACGATGTTGTCGAGATCCCCAGTTTTTATATGTCATACTTATATGGGTTTTTAACTATCCGATAAAATTTCATAAAGTTTTTTCGAGGTTTGCTTGATCAAATAATTTTTGTAAACTCACTGCATAAATGGAGAAACTGTTTTCAACTTCTTGTTGATTTTAAAATCAATAAATAAATAAATCACTAATATTGCATTGGAAAGTTAACCTAAAGGGACACATGTCGGTAACCCTACGTATTACTAGAATATGGGACGTTATAATTGGTATCAGAGCGCGGTTTACCTTTTTGTAGACTTGCAAAACAAACTTGATTTCCAAATTTTTAGAAATGGAGCGCCACGTAAATTATTACAGCTACCATCATGCTCGCCATTGCCACAAGTCGCCGACTCTAAGGTAAAGAAAGTTATGAGGAATTTATGTTATGCAATAGCATTGCAATGTTTGCGAGTGATTGCATCCATTTAAAATACAAAAGTTATAAAAGTAGAGTTTGAGAATTTGATTGCGACATTTATGAGTTTTGAAAACATGACTAAATTATGAATGTCTATGTTAGTCCTCAAAAAAGGTGCTAGAAACCTACCTATTTAGACTTTATTAGTTTATTTGACACAGATGGCATGGACTAAGAGGACATGTAGGAAGACGTGTACATTAATGCCTCATCGAAATGAAATTGTGAGGTAGTATAAAGAATATCAGTGGAATCCAATGCATTATATGGGCCAGCACATTAGGGAGATGTTAGTAAGGTGGAGGGAAGTGAGACAACTAGTCCACATGGTCACTGGTCGTCGAGCCACCCACCTCCCCGTCGATACCCTGCCAGAATAATGGTTAGAGATGGCCGAATCAATTTAAAATTATTTATGGGAAGTTGCCACACCCACCTTACCTCGAGAGATTGACTATGAGGCCTTCTACACAAAGCGAGGGACACTATGGAAGCAAGCCCGAGATGATGCACTTGCAAGCCCGAGGGCGATAGAGTACCTATTGAGATGTGCATTCGTGAGGATACACCTCTACCTATTTCAGATAATGAGTCGCAACCTTCCAAGACAATTAGAATTCGTGGAGAATGAAGTAATGAGGACGATGTCAAAGAGGAGTAGAGGCATGAATTTTTAGTAAATTTTACTTGGTTTGATGACCTTGAAGTCGCGTAGGGTTTCATGTTTACTTTTCAGTCTAGTAACACCAAACGTTCGTTCATAGATTGTTTCCCCCATGAAGGATTTAGTTAATAATATAATATGTTATCTTCTAATGAAGGTTTTCCCGTTCATTATGTAATGAGTGATTAGTGTGAATTTTTTTTTTATAAAGTTTTCAAACCCATTCCAATTGTATGAAGGAAAATGGCACCATCATCTCAAGCGAAAGTAATTAGAGAACTACAACAAGCAGGGGAAGAAATGAGACGAGTCTTAATGGCACAAGCTACTCCGACGACATGAATGGCATTGACAGGGCAAGACGAACAGATAACGCCATCTATTACAACACAAACTGCTCCTATACCACCTATTACTACAGCATTAACTACTACTCCAAATATGCCAATCATTGAGCAATTTCGTCGATACCACCATCCAAGCTTCGATGGCGGAAAGGACCATTTGGCTGCAAAAGAGTGGCTTTGCACAATTGAGAAGATCTTTCGACACATATCTTGCCTAGAAGATCAGAGGGTATTGTGTGCAGAATTCATGCTGGTCGGAGGAGCCAAACATTGGTGGGAGTCTACATTACGTACCCGAACAGAAGATGAACAACATAATATGACATGGACTCAATTCAAAGAGGAGTTGACTGAGAAATATTTTTCGCAAGCCCTTCGCGACCACAGGGAGGCAGAGTTTTTACAACTGACGCAGGGAGACATGGACATCACTGATTATGAGAGGAAGTTTGAGGAGTTACCTCATTATGTCTTGCATCTAGTGAATACGAAGTTCATGAAAGCAAAATGATTTGAGAAGGGATTGTGTCCTGAGATCAGGTAGATAGTGAGTTCACATGAACTCGCCACTTACCGAGAAATTGTAAAGAAGGTCCAAACTGTATCGTCCTCAAGTTACAAACTTCGAAGTTAGGGACTACAGAACAATGTTGGAAAAATGAAGTGACATGATTAGGGTAAGGATTAGAACTCTCGATAGATTAAGAAACAAAATAACGGGCCTACTAACAGACAATCAGACAATAGTTTTCCTCCCTGCCCTAAGTGCAAGAGATCTCATAGGGGTGAATGCTTATTTGACAAGAAATGTCTGTTACAGGTGTGGCCAGTTCGGTCACTATGCTTCTAGACGTCGGGCAATGCCAATTGAGGTTGTTGAACAGGTGAATAAAGGAAAGGTGAGAATTTTTACCATAACACATGATGAAGCTGCCCAGAATCTTGACGTAATCACAAGTATTTAATATGTTCATAATATCCCTGTTTACGTCCTTATTGATTCTGGTATGACACATTCATTTATGTCTATGGCATGTCTAGCGAAGATCAATGTTTCATGTGAGAAAACTAATAGTATACTAGAAGTTAGTATGCCATCAAGAGGAATCGTAGTTACAAATAAGATTGCTAAGGCAGTGCAAATAGATTTTGATGGGCTAATCCTTGAAGCAAATTTACATGTCACAGAATTAAAGGATTTTGACATTATTTTGGGCATGGACTGGTTAGGTAGCAATAGAGGTACGATTGCATGCTTCGAGAAAGAGGTGATCTTCAAAAGACCTAGAGAAGAAGAGTTTAGATTTTATGGTTCAAAGATTAAGATGCTTCCCTACCTCATTTCGACTATGCAGGTAAAGAGATTATTGAGGAAGAAAACTTTTCGAGGATATCTTGTTAGCCTTGTTGGCATGTCATCATGAAAGTTAACACTAAGTACCTATGGTGCAGGAATACACTGACGTATTTTCGAATGACTTACCGGGTGTACCAATTGACAGACAAGTAGAATTTACCATAGATTTGATACCCGAGGTTGCGCCAGTGTCTAAAGCTCCATATAGGATGGCACCAAAAGAACTACAGGAGTTAAAGATGCAGCTAGAAGAACTTCTAGAAAAAGGTTTTATTAGACCAAGCGTGTCTCCATGGGGAGCTTCGATACTTTTTGTAAAAATGAAGGATAGAACGATAAGAATGTGTATTGACTATCGAGTATTGAACAAGCTCATTGTCAAGAATAAGTATCCTCTCCCTAGAATTGAAGACTTATTTAATCAATTGAATGGTGCAACCGTATTTTCAAAAATTGATTTGAGGTCAGTCTACCATCAAATTAAGATCAAGCCAAGTGATATACCTAAGATAGCATTTAGAACTTGCTTTGGACATTACGAGTTTATAGTTGTGCCATTTGAACTTACTAATGCCCCTGCAATATAGAGGTAGACCCGAGTAAGTTAAAGTTGTTACTATTTGGATAGGACCTACAAGTGTTGGAGACGTGAGGAGCTTTCTTGGTCTGGCTTGATACTATCGACGATCTCTACAAGGTTTCTCTAGAATAGCAAGTCCCATAACACAATTAACTCGAAAGGGCATAAAGTTTGTATTGTCCAAAAAGTGTAAACAGAGTTTCCAAGAATTGAAGAGTAGACTAGTATCCGCTCCAATGTTAGCAATCCCAAAGGAATCAGAGAGATTTATTATCTATAATGATGCATCTAAACTAGGTTTGGGTTGTGTCTTGACGCAACGTGGAAGGGTGATAACCTATGCATCAAGACAATTAAAACAGCATGAGAAAAATTATCCTACTTATGACTTAGAGCTTGCAGTGGTAGTTCATGCTCTCAAGATTTAGTGGCATTGCCTATATGGAAGAAAGTGTGAAATTTACATTGACTATAAGAGCCTCAAGTACTTATTTGCCTAGAAAGAATTAAATATGATGCAATGACGATGGTTGGAATTAGTAAAAGACTATGATGTACCATCCTTTATCACCTAGGTAAAGCTAATATAGTAGCAAATGCTCTAAGTAGAAAAAATCTGGGGCATTATCATCGCTATGTACACAATAGAGCTAGTTGATCAAGGACTTTGAAAAATTGAGTATAGAAGTAATAACAACACCAGCTCAAACATCAGGGAAGCTAACAAATTTGGTTCTAAAATCAAATCTTAAGGACAGGATTATAGCAACACAAAAAGATAACCCTTTCCTGGAAAAGATTAGGGTCGATATTGGAACTGATAAAGGAAAGGGATTTGAGATAAACAGTGATAAATCACTTATGTTTAAAGGTCGACTATGAAGGGCTAAGAAGAGAGATCATGATTGAAGCTCATTCCGCTCCTTATGCTGCACATCTAGTCTCTACAAAAATATACAGAGACTTACGTAATACCTTTTGGTGGAGGAATATGAAAGGAATAATAGCTTTATTCATATCAAAGTGTATAGTTTGTCAGCAAGTAAAAGTAGAGCATCATAGGCCATCAGGACTTTTAAATCTAATGGAAGTGGGAGAAGATTTTGATGGATTTTGTAATGGCTTTTCCTAGGTTGGTGAAAGGTCAAGATGCCATTTGAGTCATAGTGGACCGACTTATAAAATCTGCCCATTTTTTGCCAGTTTATATAACTCTCAGTCTAGAACAGTTTGCACAAATATATGTTAAAGAAATCGTTCAACTTCATGGGACAACATCCATCGTGTCGGATAGGGACCCAAGATTTACCTCAAAATTTTGGAAGAGTCTCCAGACAGCTTTGGGAACAAAATTGACTTTCAGTACTGCATATCATCCTCAAATCGATGGATAGTCAGAACGAACTATCGAAGTGCTAGAAGATATGTTGAGGGCATGTATACTAGACTTTGGTGGTAAATGGGAAAATTTTTGCCGTTGGTTGAATTTGCATATAATAATAGTTATCAAGCTACTATTAGCATGGCACCGTATGAGGTATTATGTGGACAATGATGTCGTTTACCAATATGTTGGGACGAGGTTGGCAAGAGGAGGATTTTAGGTTCAATACTTATTGAGAAGATTGTGGAGGCTATTAATAAGATCAAAATGAGGATTAAGATAGCTTAAGATTGTCAAAAGAGTTATGCAAATAAGAGGAGAAAAGAACTAGAATTTGAGGTTGGAGAGAAAGTATTTATCAAGGTCGCCCCGACAAAAGGGATACTGGGATTTGGAAAGAGAGGGAAGTTAAAACTGAGATTTATCAGCCCATTTGAAATCATCGAGAAGATTGGAAATGTAGCATATCGTTTGACATTGCCACCTGAAGTATCGACAATACATGACGTATTTCATGTTTCCATGTTGAGGAAATACATCCACGATCCAAATCATGTGGTTAATGTTCAATCATTAGACATGAAGAATGATATGACTTATGAAGAAGCACCTATAATGATTTTCGAGAGAAAGGCGCTCGTTTTGAGAAATCGTGAAGTTCCATTAGTTAAAGTCCAGTGGAGTAAGCATGGGAAAGAGTAGGCTACTTGGGAGAGAGAAGCAGATATTTTAGCCAAGTACCCAAATCTCCTTAACCAAGAAAGTTAAATTTCGAAGACGAAATTATTTTAAGTGGGAAGGATTTGTAGCGATAAAAAAGAAAATTATTTGAATTCACTTTGGTACATTTCATTATATTTGGATGTTGAGAGATTAATATGAAAATATGTTCGACGTCATCATTTTTTTGGTAGAATAATCTAGCATTCATTTAACAAGAATTTCGCTATCAAAATCAGACTAATTTCGAAGCTCATATTAATTGATGAATTTTAGACACGAGAAAAAAAAAGTTATTTTGGATAAGTTACGTCCATGTTTTTGTAGCTCAAAGAAATACAAATTTGGCTAACATTAATCAGGCATGTTAACAAAGTAGCCACCATGTGTCACAGGACAAAAATGAATTGAAGTTTTGAATTAAATTTAAGGTGCTCTGAATTAGTTAATTAGCTTTCCTTTCATTTTGAATTCTGTACAAACCCATTTAACCAAATTAAACTTAAATCACATGAAACTCTTCCATAATTAGGACCATAATTAAGCAAATTTTCAATGATATCAAGGCAACAAACAATATCATTAATAAATTTGACAAACATTATGGGAGTCCAAATCAATTTCAGCACTTAATCAGGAAGAGACCAAGCATGTTTCCTTTTCATTTTTTTTCATAAGAAATTGTTTATGAAATATACGGAGGGTTCACGCCACTGGAGTTACCGAAAAGAGGAGAGGCCATTTCATATTCAAGATTTGAAGGGAATACCAATTGAGGTAGTCATCACCATATCATTCGAACAAAGGTAGGATTTCTATACTAAGTGATCGTTATGTGGATTTAATTTTCATTCATACATGTTATTCTTTATATTGACTTACGAAAGTATGTGAATTTCCTTAAGGGTTCTTCTTGAATGTAAATGGCAGAAGAGTTATATGTTTAATTGATCGTCGCAGAGGCTCATCCGAACTTTAATTTTATATGTTTAACTGATGGTTCTAGAGACTCATCAAACCCATAAATAGATCATTGATCTAATTATTAATGAAGGCAATATGTAATAATACATAATTACATGCATGATTATTATGTCCATATAAATTGTGTAGCACAGTGAGCATTTCTTGAGATACTTATTCCTATTTAACATTTTCAGAATGATCGGAGATCTTGCGGTGGCTTGGCATTGATGACATAATTATTATGGAGAGATTTATACATCGCATTTTAGATTTTCATTTTTTTAATGGTTAATAATCCTTGTGGATTCAAATAACTTTCAGTTTGAGTTTACATTTCTAGTTGTAAAAACTTTAAAGTTTAAACCTTTGTCTTTCATAAATTTCCAGCTTTTGCTACTGTTTTTAAATTCTTATTACAACCTGTAAAGTTTGAATTTGAGAATATTACAAATTGGAAAATAATCCTTTATGAGTTATTTATCATATGCAACTGAAAGTACGATGATCGGAGTCCCGTAGAATTTATTGTAGCATTTTTAGTACACCATGACAATCAAATTCGGGATTACAGACCAGCCTATTCGAAAATTATTTTAATGCTTCAAACGATGTTGTCGAGATTCCAAAATTTTATATGTCGTACTTATAAGGATTTTTTACCATCCGGTAAAATTTCATAAGGCTTCATTGAGGTTGGCTTCATCAAATAATTTTTGTAAACTCACTGCATAAATGGAGAAACCGTTTTCAACTTGCTGTTGATTTTAAAATAAATAAATAAATCGCTAATTTTGCGTTGGAAAGTTAACCTAAAGGAACACATGTCGGTAACCCAACGTATTACTAAAATACGAGGCGTTACTACTAAACAACTGCATGCAATGTAATACCAGCTAAATAACTTGCAATGGTAAAATCAATGAACAATAAGTGTAAATAATGGAAAATAACAACTTGAACATTTTTTAATCTCTCTCTCTCTCTCACTCTTTTGTATATAAATTTCAAAATTAAGTAAATTCAAATATGGTAAGATAATACTGCTGGTCTATGTAAAATAACAAAGTATGGATCAAATAATAATCAAAACCTAATCACGTAAATAAGTGGGGTAAAATGGGGCTTGGCAAAATCAAGGGATTCAATCATGTGGCTTTAGGTATATTATTATAATAACAGTAGCACAAAAATTTAATCAATGCAATTTTAAAAAATGAAACAAAATTATAAATCAATGATAAATAGCAAACAGTGACTCCTCTATTGTTTGTTGAAGTAGCTGTGTCAAATATCGCATTCGTTAAACTAGATGTATTAAATATCACTCTCGTTGAAGTAGCTGTATTAAATATCACTTTACGAGACTTAAAATTCAAACAATGTTCCAATCACAATTTTCAATTTGGTATAGCTACGTTGGCAAGGAGACAATTGAATCTTCTGAGCAGCTCCTGATCAACAAAATTAAAATCACCTGTGACTAATATCTGAATTTTTTTTATTTTTTATCTTTTGAGTGGCACTAATCTATTACAATATGAATAGACTAACCAAATAAAGGATGAATGACCAACCAAAAGGTAAGAGGAAGGCCCAAAACAAAACAAAAAGGGTACTATAGACTAAAGCCCAAGAAAATTTTTAAAATTGCAATAGACAACCCAAAATAAAAACGTAGGCTAATCGAAGTTTACTGTTTTCTTCTTCCTCCTCTTCTCGGTTCTTCCTCTTTTGGCGTGAGAAAGTCGGATTCAAGGTCGCCGATTACGGCGTTAAAGGTGATAAAGGCTGAAGAGTTACGGGAGTTGGTGCTGTGAGGAATGAGTCCGACAATGGCTAAAAGCTTGGAGTGACCGGCGACCGGCAGCTGCGGTGTTGAAGAAAAGAGTGGCGACCGCTGAAAGCTTGGAGAACTCCCGACGGGCGGCTGGCTTTGGGTGGGGTGCGTTTTCTGTTTCTTCGCCTGATTTTTTTATACTATATGTCATCACCTCAAAAGTAGCAGCAGTTTATGTGCATCGTATAAATATCTCGAAAAACAAGTCCACATCAATCATCCCTTGGAGATAATGAAATAGTTGTTCAACTTTACTTCAGTTGTTTGAGCTAGAGAACATATATATCTTGCATCAGGAGAATGCTGTATTTTAGGCCATGTAATATTGCACTAAAAAAATGATAATTCACGACCAAGAAAATTATGTGTTATTTCCTCATGGGAAAATTGATAATTTATAAAATAAAGTGATCGAACAATTATTAGGTACTTAATGGGTGAGCATTTTCCTTTAAGAATTATTTTACGACTAGTCTGTATAAATTAACCAATGAACAATATTTATATTGGTTATGCTTGATCGGTAGGTCAAGATAAACTTGCCTTTTCAAAACCTTTTACGATAAATTCATCTTTAAGTATTCTATAGCCTTTAGAAACTCTCTAGAAGTTCCAATAATCATTTAAATCATTAACATTCTCATATCCGCGTTTATTTATACAGACATGTTAGTATGGTCATTTTGTACCTTTCTTTCAACAGATATTTACTGATTCGATCATGTCACGTACTTCTAGATTGCAATCCATTCATCGGAATTAAACAACATGCTTCACTGCTTGTGCAGGCCGATGATACTCTTAAGCACTTTAACATTTTTAATCAGAATCTTTGTTTTTCATATCGTACGCAACCTCTCCAGAGGAAATAAAATATTAGGGAAATTTTCCTTCTTTAATCTATATTCGATTGATTGATCAGAGGTCATTGACAAAAAAGATTTGTCGAACCCACTTCGTTTCTTTTTGTCCAAGTCAGTTCTCTTCCAATCCATCTTTCCCAAGCACATAAGACAACTGTAGCAAAGATTGATTAAGCCAAAGCACTAGTTTCCATGATCACATGAGCTTGTAAATTTTTCAGGAACTTGAGTTATATGCCTCGGTAAATCAAATCCTTTAGGGATTTATATGGATTTTGTTCTCAAGTATATTGTGTAAGTTAGTTATAACCATATTTGTTAGATGCATGTCATGTTTTCTATGTATTGCTAGGCTAATAAGATCATTAAGCTACAAGTCATGCTTTAAATTCACGAATTAGTTTTTTCCTCACTTTCTTTTCGCACAATTACCCATTTGTACACATTGTCGGATTGCATGTCCAAATATTTTAAAATTTTCTAATGAGTTCAATTCTATCTAGATTGCTTCTGTCCATTTTTTTATCTATTCTTATGCCAACATTCTTTAATGTATTGGAATTTATCATCCTATCTTTCATTCATAATATTGAACTCTAAATTATGTTAACAATATGTTGACCACAATTATTTTTTTTATTCAAATTTTCCTTTATGACATAACTTATCGAGATCTCTTCATTATTTAGGTTCCTCAAACTTTTTGTAGGATTTTACATTTAATGTTTATTTACTTTTTAAGAGTATATGCCTCCTCAATTTGACTATCTTTGTTATTTTCTTCTTTTTTCTCTGAGAATTTCTATCTTTAGAAATGAATATTTTCACGCTTCAAGCATGTCATGTATTATGCTATCATATTGTGCATATGGGATATTTGCACTTGTGATTGTTACATGAGATTTCATTGCCCGTTACGGTAAGTAATGGCATCTAGCAATTGTATATCTTGTAGATCTTCGAACTTCTAGTTCATATTATCTTATGCGAGGATCTAAAAAATGTTATATAATGCATTTACTGTTTTTCGATAACTTCCAAAAACATAAAAAAATAATACGAGATTTTGAAAAGAAAATTTAGGAATTATTTGACAAAATTTTTAGAAATTTTGATAAATGTCAATGAAATATGTAGTTAGGAAATTAATAAAATTTTTAAATCTAATCGAGTGTGCAATTAAAGTTAATTGAAAAAGTTTGAGCCCTTGAGAAAAAATAACATTCATACTAGTATTAATATATTAGGCCCAATCACTTTATTTCACATGAAAAACAGGTGAACAAAACATCAAAAGTTTACACCTCAAATTATCATTCCTTGTGGTTGAATTTCAGGTAACTAAATCCGGAATTGAACTTACTATTATTTTATCAATTTTTGAAACTTATGGTACAGGATTAGTGACATAAAAGAACTGGCAGCCAAGCTGTTTGATGAAATTACTCTGGAAATAAATAAAATTTTTGACGCCATTTATTTGCTTATATGCATCGCATTTGACCTTCGAACAAAGGGGAATTAGGTTTTAATTGGAATTATGATTCCATTTATGCTTAAATTTTCTCTGAAAAATGTATAGAACCTGCTAACATTGTGTTTGACTTTCTGCAACTCAGATGGAGATGCACAAGTTGAAGTAAATGGAGTGTGAAAAGAGAGCTGAGGCGAAAAGTTTACTGGAAATTCTACCTCCCGTCGATTTTTGCTGTATATATGGCTCCATACTCCATCCAAATAATCTTGACAAGGTTTCATCAACACAATGCACTTTTAAATTTTCATTATATTTAATAGTTGATATTTTTCATGTTTGATTAAAATAGTTTTGGTTTTACAGACTTCCATGATAGATTACATTATTGGTGTGCAAGATCCTCAACAATGGCACACCAAGGTTTGTTGGATTGCTACCCTTTATTTTAAAGATTTCTTCCAATGATCCTATGCTAATTCTGTAATAAATGATGGATGCCATTGGTTTTTTGAAATCAAGAATCTTAAAATGAATCAGAATCATTATGCATCATGGATGATGCACCTTGGTGGAGCGAGGCTGGTACTACATCTTGTCCCTTTGTCATTTGCATAAGTTTAGTTTATCCCTGAACTGACCTGAAACTAGTTTGCTCTTTCAGATTACCAATGTTGCAGATGTTATTGGTGTTGGTGTGCACTTCAATCCATTTGTTGCTCACAATGATAAGGTACTTGCCAATGTTTGTGCAAATCAGTTTGGGAATTCTACTTAAAACCTCTTGCATATCTGTCATTTTTAAATCGAATGGTACATAAAGATTTCCATCATTGCTATTCAGCATAGAATTTTAACAGTAACTGTTCCAGACATTCAAGTACGGTGTTGTTCGAGTGCATGATTTGATTCAGGACATTCTAGGATGGGAGAGATTCTACCTGGGTGGCCGGTTGCAGAAACCTGTATGTCTTACCTGAAAGTACCACTCTCATACTGTTTGCTTAAAGCCATATTATCCATTATTTTCTTGCAAGGCCATTTGTTAGTTTTTTATTGTCTTTGAAATACTCAGCTAATTGATGATGAAACAATACATAAGCAGTGAATGTTTCAGTACTTAAAGAGTCTTATGCGCAATGAACTTCAACCATAATCTGATAGATATGTTACCCCCTTTCTGTTCCAGGTTAACATCCTTGTGGACAATCTGGATATTGGAAATCTGAACTGTGTTAATCTGAAGGCCGCCACCTCTGCTGCTCTCCTTCTTTTGCCATCAAAATTCAGCGAGGCTTGCTTCTTTCTCATTTTCTAGATCATTTCAAATAGAAAAACATAGTACATTTATTTTGAATTTGTTGTGTATGCAGGAAGAGTTGTACTTCAAAATATGTAGCCTCTCATACATGGGTGACTTGCGCATGCATTTTGCAGAAGACAGAAACAAGGTAGACATGATGGCATGCCTGCTGTGCTCCTGAAGCTGTGCATGTAATAAATACATTGAGCATTAGTTGGTGCAGTGTTTTATCTCTCCTTTCAAATACAATGATAGTAAGGTCCATTAGAGTTGCAATGTACAAGTAAAAATAGGCAATCGTGTCAAGATGCATTAAAACATAATATTAAGAATTGCGAGGATAAATTGTAAATTCACTGTTCATACCTGCTACTAAAAACTATAGATGTATAGAGTGTGTGTGTGTGTGTGTGTAGATCTGCATTTTCTACTCTACCCCCATTCCTCTATTATTAATATTCATTATTATGAGTAATGATATTGACGATGAATCATTCAAATGGGGATTCCTTGCTTAATTTGGATGCGGTAGTTTCATCAATATTACCTACCAAATAAAAGGCCTGTTCAGAAAGACTATCTAATTCTCATAGTAATTTCGACTCCAGAGTAACATACATACATATACATAAATATGTGTGTGTGTGTGTTAGCATATTGGATTAAGATTGTTTTAGATATTTCTAAGGGCATTTCCGGCCTTATGTGATTGAACTGGCAGCATTATTTTTTTTTTATGATCTATTGACATCCTAATGACTGACCAAGATATCTTTCCCAGGTGAAAAAGATTGTACATGGACAGCTGAAGTTATTTCAAACAATGTATAAGCCATTTTTAGAAGAGTATGCAGCCAAGCACTTGTTGAGGCTTTCGTTATCTGGTGATAACAAAGTAAACATAACCCAGGTTAGTTCCAATTCTCAAGATATCAGTTGAAGTCATCTTTTTCTGTTTTAGTGTTGATTTTCATCAAAAATAATTTCTTTCAATCCAACTTTCATTATGATAAGTCCTGCAAACATCAGGCGACATAGGAATATACAATTAACCCAGTTTCGATGAAATGGGGAAGTGGTAGCAAAGGAAGCAAGCGAATTGGCTATTTTATTCCTATCTTTGGGTGGATAATAGCACAACCTTATCTAAGTAGCGCTATACTGTCAAAAATTATTAGTGGGTTAGGCACGATCTTGTCCATAGACTTCAAGTGTTGAATGCGTTGGAAAGCATCTGATTCAACCACTCCAATCTTTTGCCCTGATTAGGTTGCAAAGATTAAGCCCTCTCGAAGTGCCAATGCCTCAGCGCCTGCTGGAGGAAAGTATCACAGTATACGTCCAGAGCCAGCTTTTACTGAATCTTGATGATCTGGATCAATGACTCAGACTCTACAATTACCTGTTCTCCTTGTACCGTAGCATCCGAATTTAACTTCAGATGTCTGCTGCCATAACCATATTCCACTCTATCGTTGCTGCCTTTGTCCAATTCCCATGTGGAGTTAAGTATTGAAGACACCCAACCATTAATCTGTTCTGACGTCTGCACTCTTCCATCATGTATGAGGCTGTTACTCTCTTCCCAAATACCCCCATAGTAGATTGCAAATTTGTTCAAACTCTACTACCGAGCTTTGCTGTGAAATGCCCACAACCATCTCTGTTATACCATCGCGAACACATTGCTTAACCCTTTGCTCCATAGTCCTGCCTACTCCCATATTTTCCTTGCAAAGCAACATGAATATGGTGCAGGTGCAATTCTCTGTTCATATACCTTGTGTGCACTGCCATCTACCATCGCACAGCATCGCCCAAGATTCACTTGCACTGGTATCACATTATGAAATGCTCCTCATTGGCCTTGGCAACCATGGGTCCTGGAACGTTCTTATCTCTCTTCACCAGTTCCAACATGCCAGCGAAAGCCTTTAGTTATTATTACCTTACACCCACCACACGATACTTTTCCGAATATATGATGATCCATTTTATTGCGTCTGTGATGTTACTGTTGTTATAATATTTATCTTTAAAATAGTTGCGGGCAATGAGTCAGGGCTATTCTTTCCACATTTGGTTCGCTACCAAACCTTGATTGAAGCATTTCATGTCACAATACCCCAAAACTCCAAGAGATTTCATCTAGCACATCCTATCCCATTTTTGCCAAGCTATTTTTTGTTAGCAATCCGCTGAGTCACACCAAAACTTAAGAAACATGGAGTGCAGGTCAGTGCAGGAAGTCTGGTATCTTAAATATGCTCATCATGTATGTTGGCACTGCCTGAAGGGCTGCTTTTTTTATAGTGGAGCACTTTCTGGATATCTCAGATGCTATCGTATATCTTAGTACATGCTAAAGCAACCTCTAATTTGTCATATAGCACCATTTGTAATTGTACGAGGAAATTATTGATATTTTCATTCCTTGAGAATTATCTCTTAGGATATCTCAATTGTTTCCATTGTTTTTAGTATATCCAAAGTTATATGCAAAATAGCACACTACAAAATGTTATATTATGTTCTTCAGTAATCTCTAGTTCATTTTATATGACCAGATTCTTTTCCAATTTCTGGTAGAAAGTGGTAAGAGAAAACCAATACATATTTTAAGCAATAACCCACTTCATTTTATGGGAGTTGAGCCTGATAGCTTTTAGATGTAGTGCTTGAAAGATTGAGGACGTTGAGGAATTCATTGATTTTCCCGGGCCTTGAATATAAACATATTCAGGCTATCTACAAGGTTTTTAAGCTGTGAGTTAGCAACTTCTGCTTTCTGATTATTCTTCAACTTTTTTATTTATTTATTTTTATTATTATTATTTTTTTCATGGCAGATTCCAATCTGAACTTTTATTATGCTTTTTGTCGTCCCTCATATTACTAATCTATGACATTAGCTTTAAGAATGGTACTTAAGCTGATAACAACATAAAATTGTTTTATGCTAAAACCGTTAGTGATAGAAATATATATGGACCAGGATGTTTATGGCTAACATTGCTCCCAAAAGAATTGATCTGTTTGAACCTGTGAAAACCAGGATTGTGGGTTGTCTACATCTCGTTCTCTTATCTCTTATCTTCCACAACCACTCAGAAGTCAAATGGGGACGGAACTTGGAGAGAAGAAAAGATTTGATGAATCTGGTATGGCTTCAACTTTAACAGAAAAGATAAGTCTAGAATAGTTTTAAATCTTGCTTAAATATGTGCATTCTCAAGACAAATCTTTAAATGATTTTAGGTGCAAATGTCCTCTAGATTTATGCTTCTTAGCACATAATTAAATTTTGCATTGATTGCATTGTCTTATAGGTCGCACTGTTCGAGAAGTGGTAATAAAATCAAAAGAAGAAGCTGCAGAATGTATGCAGAAGATTTTGAGACGAAAAGTTATGGTTTCAAGTGCAAGACAAGCTGTTGCTGGTCTATTGACCGTTGGGGTAGTTCATGGATTCCAATATCTTGGTAATAAAATGAGAAAGGCCTGGAAATCTTGGACGTGATCTTTTGATTTTTGCTGGATTCTTCCTTTGACTGGAACGACTCTCCGTGGACAATCTATATACAAGGGTTTATTATTGAATTACCAGCAATTTCCCAATATTTGCCACATCTGCTGCGATCCATAGAACAGAAGAAGAAAGGAAAAAGACAAGGAATACCTTTATTTGCCTCAACCCAGGAAATATTTACAAATGACAAGGAGCTGCTGAAGTACATTTCTTTCTTTCTTTTTAACTTCCTTCGTTTTTTCACTTTAATTATGCAGAAGTGTCAGATTTGACAATTAACAAGTACATTTGACTTTGCTTTAGTGACTTATGAGTAGATATGGAGATTGTTTATTATCAAGTTGGAAAGGATATTTATTGTTCTTCTTTTCCTATTTGTCTCTTTGAGGGGGTGGGGGGGCGGGGTAAGGAAAAGGGTGTAGAACATCATAAGATATATAGCCCCAATAGATAACTGTAATGACACAAGGGATGAGAACCTGAGAATTCAATGAATCCAAAGGTTCCACGGAGTAACCAGCATACATATCTGCACATTTAAAATGTAAATGAATCAAATGTCTCAATTCCAGCTTCACATGATGCATTCTGAATACGAGCAGATGGCTTGAGGAGAGGCACAGAATCATCAACTCTGATTGCTCTCAATTGTTTTGGAAGGAGTACATCAGTGCAGACCAGCATCTTTCCAGGTACATCTGAAACACTGCATAATCCACTGAATAATCTTAAGGAGATGGACATTTTGATAAATATATAGTCCAGTATATCGATCCCAGTTTACGTACTCATCCCCGGTGTTTCTCATCATTGGGGTGCAGCTTTTTGCCAGATGGAACTCCATGAGAGTCTCGATAGGTTCTGTGCCTCCTTGGGTGGTTTCTTCATTAACTATGGGGAGCTGAGAATCATGGGTGCAAATTTTCAAAGGAAATGCATTTTATCTTGTGCCATTAGGACGATGTTGGTGGGCCCACAATAGTTAGATAACGATGCATGCTTGCCATGCGTTTTATGCAATATATTAAAAAATAATAATAATTTAACAGCGAGTCGAGCGCCGTGGCGCCTAGTTTCTGCGCCGCAGTGCCCAACACTTGGTTTAAAAAAAAAAAAAAACAGAGTCCCTCTTTCTCTTTTATCTCTCTACCACCAAATCCTTTTATTTTTTTTTCTCTCTCAAGTCTCTCCCTCTCCTTCCCCACACTTGCACACACCTAATTCTCTCATACTACCCCACCTTTACACACATTCACATTTATCACAAGCCATATCCACTACTTTCATTAGAATTGAAAGGTTATTGACTAGTTCTTCAAAGAAATGTATGTTCTTTTAAAATGCAATTTTACATCATTTGGCTTAATTTGAACTTCTAGTAGTAATGTTGTTTGGGGCTACATTACATTCTCATTTTTCTTTGTTGGATTGCGCTTTGGTAAAGATTGTTTGGGTTTTTGTTTTTATCTTCGAAATTGTTTTGTTGTATGCCTATAATGTGTTTGTTCTTCTGTCTCTTTGAAGCTCTTTGCCAATTTTGGGATCTATGTTAGAAGACTTTGCAAATTTCTATGGGCTTGGATTTTCCTGATTATTAATTTATTGTCTTGCCCACAAAGTGTTTGATAAATTTTCCCAAAGACTTTTTTGCGCTATTCTAGGGATATTTTTGATGGTTTGTATTAGACTTTGTACTTGATTATTCTAGCCGCCTACCGCATATTCGAATATTGTTTCATTAAGATTTTCGTGCCTACTTTGGACATACTTCATTTACTAAAACAAATTCATTGAATTGGTTTAGGTGGCCGGTTAACTTTACTTGATATTGAGAAGAACACTTACACCATGCCTCCAAAAAAGAAATCCAAGGTCACTGTCTCTTCATCTACTACAGCGTTTGATTGAAGACGATTCATTAGTCTCGAAGCAATGGACCGTTATAAACAAAGTGTGATACATCGGAATTGCATTCCTGAGAGGGGCCTTGAAAATTTTTTTGCCAAATAAAATACACAGTTTGGGATGGGAGAAGTTTACCAAGCAACCTAAAGCTGCATCCATTCCTTTGGTGAAAGAATTTTATGCCAATGCTAATGAATACAAGAACTTCAAAGTTTTTGTTCGGAGGTTTTGGATCAAGTTTGATAGTGCTTCAATTAATAGGTTCTACCACTTCCCTTCCTCTGGTCTGATACTTAGCTTTAAAATTTGGCACCACTTCATATCATCCAAACTGATCCCCAGTAGTAACACCAGCGAAGTCACCAAGGAACGGGCCTTACTGAATTTTGTTATTTAGAATGGGTATTCTATTGATGTTAGCATAGTCATTCAAAACAGCATTCTTCGCATCCCAGTCGGGCCAGCTACAGGTAGTTTGGGTCACTCCTCTTTGATCCATGACCTTTGCATACACGGGGGTGTTCCCGTGCGAGAAACTAGTGAAGTCTTACACCCGAAATAACCACTTACACGGGAACTCCGTGATAGGCATGTGGGACATCGGGACGTGCCTGATTCTTCTCAATCATCTCGTCCTTTACCTCCTACACCACCGCCTCCACAACCTTCTGATGCTACGGGGGACATCCTTCGGCATCTTGAAGCCATGGATTTGCGCATGACCCGATGGCAGGATGGCATGCAAGTACAAATGAATCATCTACAATCCACCATCTTTGACTAGTTTCATTATCAGAGTGCTTGCATGGCGGTCATGACATCTGCACACCCCGAGCTCACCTTCCCCCCACCGTCATCGTTTCCACCTAATTCACACCCTCCCGCTCCACTTGATGGCGATGAAGACAGTTGATGTCTTCCCCGAGGTATTTCTCTTCCCTTTCTTTCAATTTCACATTGAGGGCAATATGTTGTTTAAGTTTGGGGGTGTCTTACTTTCACTTAGTTGTTAGTTGGGTCTAACATTTTCTTTATTGTTTTTGTTGTGTTGCATTAGTGTTCCAAGTATGTTGTGCGTGTTAATTTACTGTGTGAAAAAAAATTTAAAAAAAATTTTGCATTATTTTATTTCACATGCTTGTATGAGTTGAATAACATTATTAGCAATGATGAATATATTTGGAATGTGGATCAGTTGTGGATTATGGATGAGTTAGTTGCTTGAATTAAAGTGTTACTTACCCTTGCAGATTATTGTAACATTTATGCACGTGAATTGAATATAGCGGCAAACAAGAATGAGTTGATTCATAATTAGATTTAGGCTGAATTAATGACCCTAGAAATTGAATCCAAACAGCCACTTGTATAATAGTATTCACATCCCTTAACCTACCTTAGGATAGTTTGGATGGGCAAACTGTTGTAGGAAAGCATGGACGTGGGTGTGGATTCCTTGTGTGCCAAATTCTGTGTGGATTGTCTGAGACCAATGAGATGAAAATTGAGTAAACACTTTTAGTTAAAGGCCAATTTTCGAGAATATGTGTTTAATAAGGGGCATTGCACTAATTAAAAAAAAAAATCCCTATGAAGACAACCTTAAAAAGCTTATTGTGAAGCGTCTCTTCGTAACATTTATGACTTGAGTGATTAAGCCTGTAAGGGTTTAAAACCTGATGCCCTAAAGTCGTTTGGCTTGGGAGTCATTGGCCTAAAGCTCGCTATATGGGTCATTTAGAAAGCTTAAGGGAGGGACAATCGCACAAAGATTAGTTAAAAGAAAAGTCGTTTTTAAGCTTAATTAAGCCTTGAACACCTGTTTTAAAGGAGTAGGCTTTTGGCAAAGGGTTAGTAACTTGGTTGATTCTTGGAGGTTGAAGCAGTCAAAAATAGGAGAATTCATACTTACCGATATGTCGAACTACAATTAGTAAATTCCAACCAAATTTTAGAGGTGTAAGAAATTAGTATTGAAAATCAACTTTACGTACACCTTGGGAAGAAAAGAGAAAATAAGTTTGGGGATGTGTGAATCCCACAAGCGAAGTAAGGAGATAATTGACTTCTGAGGGCGGGAGTTGAATCAACATACGAATGTCTGGCGTTATATTCGATTCTTCACACACGCACGCATATGATCTGTAATGGGTGGGTAAGGAGCTACCTTTTGCAAAATAACTTTGAAATACTTCATAAACTCGATCTCACATTTCAATGTTGAGCAATAAAAACATGTTGTCCAACTAAATTATGCATTTAAATTCTTTGGCAGCATTTGTGTTTGTGTTTGGTAATTATTGTTTATTAATTGTGTTTGCTTGAGGACAAGCAAAGAACTAAGTTTGGGGGAGTTTGATGAGTGTAATTCACTCATTAAACATACGCCTCTAAATCACGGGTTTTAGTTTGTTCTTGAGCACTTTTGAACGTTTTGATGTGTGTGTTCGTGTTATCTTGCAGCTAAATCAACATTCGAGAAAACACCATAATTAGGAGCTTGTGATGAATCTAAATGGTGGTCATAAAATGGGGGCATAAATTAGAGATAAGAAAAGAAGATTACAATGGAAAATAAGTTTAGAAGGTGAATGATTCAAGCAAGAAGCAGCTTGTTAGGTGCCACGACGTGGCGGCCAACAAAAGGAGAAAGTCAGCAGGAAGCTAGGCGCCACGGCGCCCAGCGTGAAAACAAGAAGCAGAACAGCTGCTACCGTGGTGCCAGACTTGGGCGCCAAGGCGCCAGAACCCAATCACAACGCGGTGTTGCGGCGCCAGACACCCCCGTATATGCAAAGGTCATGGATCAAAGAGGGGTAACCCAAACTGCCTGTAGCTGGCTCGACTAGGATGCGAAGAATGCTGTTTTGAATAACTCTGCCAACATCAATAGACTAGCCCTTCTGAATATCAAAATTCAGTAAGGCCCATTCCTTGGTGATCTCGCTGGTGTTGCTACTGGGGATCAGTTTGAATGATATGAAGTGGTGCCAAATTTTACAGTTAGGTATCAGACCAGAGGAAGGGAAGTGAGTTACATCACTAGCTGATCTTTTCCATTCAGTATCGAGGCGAGCTATAGTGCGAATTATCTCATCGGGATCGACCCCCTCATCACGTAGTCGGGAATAGTCATCATTGAGTATATCTCGCGTGTGGTAGAACCTATTAATTGAAGCACTGTCAAACTTGATCCAAAAATCCCGGAAAAAACTTCGAAGTTCTCGTGTTCATTGGCATTGGCATAAAATTCTTTCACCAAAGGAATCGATGCAGCTGTATGTTGCTTGATAAACTTTTCTCATCCCAAACCGTGTATTTCATCTGGCAAAAAAATTTCAAAGTCCCTCTCAAGAATGCAATTCCGATATATCACACTTTGTTTATAGCGTTCTTCTGCTTCGAGACTAATGAATTGTCTTCGATCAAACGCCGTAGTAGATGAAGAGGTAGTGACCTTGGATTTCTTTTTAGGAGACATGGTGTAAGTGTTCTTCCCAATATCACGTGAAGTTAACTGGCCATCTAAACCAATTCAATGAATTTGTCTTAGTAAAAGAAGTATGTCCAAAGTAGGCACGAAAATCTTAATGAAACAATATTTGAACATGTGGTAGGCAGCTAGAATAATCAAGTATAAAGCCTAATGCAAATCATCAAAAATATCCCAAGAATAGCGCAAAAAAGTCTTTAGGGAAATTTATCAAACACTTTGTGGGCAAGACGATAAATCAATAATCAGAAAATCCAAGCCCATAGAAATTTGCAAAGTTTTCTAACATAGATCCCAAAATTGGCAAAGAGCTTCAAAAAGACAGAAGAACAAACACATTGTAGGCATACAACAAATCAATTTCGAAGATAAAAACAAAAACCCACACAATCTTTTCCAAAGCACAATCCACACAATCTTTAAAATTGCAAAAGAACATACCTTCTTTGAGAAAACTAGTGAATAACCCTTCAACTCTAATGAAAGTAGTGGATATGACTTGTGATATATGGAAATGTGTGTAAAGGTGGAGTAGTATGAGAGAATTAGGTGTGTGCAAGTGTGGGGAGGGAGAGACTTGAGAGAATATAGTATTGAAGTAAGAGTGTCGAACCCACAGGAATTGTATTTAATTTTCACTAAGTACCATAACTATGCAATTTCTACTTTATTTAGATGAATGTATGATTAAATTGATGTTTTATGAATGAACGATTTAAACTAAACTAACGTGATTGGATGTGACAACCTATAAATTCTATGTTGTATCACTCTTATGATCACGCCTAAATTCCCACTCTCTCAAGCGCCAAAATTGATTAGCATCAAATCATCTAATTGTTGATCAAGCAATTGAAAGCATTAAAATTATGATACAATTAAATATATGCGGAAAAATCAAAGAAATAATTATAAAATCATCAAACCATAATATCGATTCGGCTACATCAATCCCCTAGATAAATTGTTTAATTAATGGTATAATAAATGAAAATCATAGGAATTATAATAAACAATATAAGGAAAAAGATAGAAAAAACTAGTCTTTTGGGTAGATCTTGAATCTTCTTCCTTGATGTTGTTTCTCCTTCCTTTTGATGTCTTCAATTTTTGCCTCATTTAAATTGTGTGGTTGAATTCTTCAATCTTGCCCCCCTTTCATTCTCTCCTGAAAATAGGGTTTTTGAATGGTACTTATAGTATGTTAGGGGTCTTGGACGAAATAGGATTGAATTGGGCCAAGAAAGGAGTCCAAAAACATCAAAATACGTTTCTCCGCATAGGTGGCGCCTCGGCGTCCAGTATGGGCGCTACGACACTGTCCTTACTGTCAAATTCAGATTCATGGGCGCTGCGGCGCCCATCTTAGGTGCCACGGCGCCCGGTTCGGGTGGAAAATTTTTTCTGCGCGTCCTTTAGTATTTTTAGCATAAATTTCTCGTCCAATGTTCAATTGAGGTGATTCAAAGCTTCTTAGAAAGCTAACTTAAAGGGGTACAACTTTGATTCAGATATTATTTTCCGCTTCGATCGTTTGCTATGTTAAAAATGAGTCTCAATGTGAGGCTGAAACTCTGAGGCATAACTTTTCGGTTGGAATTTGATTTGTGATTATATTTTGACTAAATTTGATCCCTTTGACATCTGTTTTCATCCAATTGACTCCTAGCACTCTCGGATCTCATTGCAAGGCTCAACACAACTTTTTAATATTTGCACTTTAGTCCCCGAACCTTGGATCTCTCACAATTTAGCCATTTTCTCCAATTTCGCCAACTTTTGCTTATTTCTTTCAATTTCATCAACCTACGTCACAACATCAAAGCACACATTAAAAAGCTTTAAAACACTCTCAAGAGTAGCAAAATAACAAATTAGATGGCATAAATATCATGAGTGTAGAGCACTCATCAATGCTTTAGTAGATGGTGGTTGGGATGGTGCTCTCATTTCGTTGGAGATGTAGAAAGTATGATTGGAGAGTGGTAGTAACCTCTGTATGATACTTCTTTTCTTTTTGGCAAGAAACTTTCATTGTGGACGTGTTATTGTTGTTATGGCAGTTTATTCAAAAATGTTATTAAACACCACCATTTCTTCTATGGTCAGTATTTTGATAGAATGAGCAAAACGACCAGCTGCTGATATCTTATGGCATAATCACAGATTTAGCAGAAAATATTACAATTCATTACCCAATCATGTTATAATAATCTCTAGAGCTTGAATCTCAAATACTAGAAAAATAATGCACTATTTTTTAAGATTAGTCACAAAAGTTTAGGGGGCGATCCTATGTCATTTTTCAGCCATTTTCTGTTTTTAGTTTTCAAAAACACCCAAAATGTGTTTGGTCACTCATTTCCAAAAACAAGGAAAAATTTATAATTGACAACGCAAAACGATTTTTTATTTATTTATTTTTTTTTCAGTTTGGGCCTTTGCAGTTAAAAAAATTCAAAATGCAGAAAACACTCAAAACAAGTCGTTTTCGGTGATTTTTTTTCGTAGAGATGGACAATAGTACTTTTAAAATAGTAAATTCACCAAGTTTAAAATATATATTATCCAGGTAATATATTAGCTTAAAATTATTATAATTTACTAAATAATCAAATTAGTTGAATAAATGTCATAAAAAAATTTCTAAAAATTTATTATTTATTATTTTATTTTTATAGCAAGAAAAAATAGTAAAATCACCAAGTTTAAAATATATATTATTTGGTAATGTATTAGCTTAAAATTATTATGTTTTACTAAATAATCAAATTAGTAGCAAGAGAAAATAGTAAATTCACATATTATCCAATAATTTATTAGTTTAAAATTATTATGTTTTACTAAATAATCAAATTAATTGAATAAATGTCATAAAATAATTTCTAAAAATTTTAAATCAAACGCATTTTTTAGTTTTTTGTTTTGAGAAACCGTTTTTCAAAATAATAAACCAAGCACGTTTTCTATAATTCGAAAATAATCGTGCAAAAGTCAAACCAAAAAACTTTTTCTATTTTCAAATCAACCGCACCCTTAGCTTTTACATTACTGCTATGATGGTAGATTTCTTACAGAAAGCATAAGAGAAATTTTGAGGCCAAAAAACCAAAAAAGATATAAATTTAAACCGCTGTCAATTTGCCAATGGCAATCGTCCAATCCTAATAATTTTGGTTTGAACAGAAGATGGAAGATGCAACTAATGTAAATTACAGCACTACATTACAACGATGGACGTGTGATAATGTCATTTAGTGATGACAACGGGGCGGGTTCTTGGTCCAAACTCTGCCCCGCCCCATCAATGGACGTGTGATAATGTCATTTAGTGATGGCAACAGGGTGGGTTCGGGGCGAGGCGCCCC